AGGTAGTTTTGCGAAATTCAACAATCAAAACTAATAAGTTTTACTGCTTTATGCTATCTTCTTAGTCCTAATATTCGTTTACTAATTCTGTTCGACTATATATATTTTTTACAGAAAATAATAACTTCGTTTACTGTTGAAGACTGTAATAGCCAACTACTGGTTCTCTGTGCAACATCTTAAAGTTTACCTTCTTGTTGTGTCCAATCGGTCAAGCAAGGGATCCTGGCGGTGATGCTAGATAAACAGTTTTCATAAAGTCCACTGTCGTCCAGACCCAATGTTTCGTAGCGGCTTTTTACCCCACTCAGTAAGGCAGTGGCACAAGCTCCTGAGTCTCCCACTTGACTGTCGATGTTGTATGTCTGTATAGTACAGAAAACTTGAGATGGGTATAACATTCAAACAACCCTTGTTTTAAATGGATGAGCTTTTAGCTTTTGGTTTAATGGGTTCGTGGTAACTTCGAGATATTGTAGAATTTAAACCTTATAACCGAAATAACCACAATTCAAATATAAGGGAGTCATTTGATTGACACACCATCGCGTCTCTTTCTTTCTTTTTGTAACTCAATTTGAATAACTTTTCTTCATTTTCATCAACTGAATTTAGATGATGTGTACGTAGTGCAGCATCTCTCAATATGACAAAGATTTACAACCCCCCAGTTCAGGAATGTGAGAGGACTTTACAGGCCCCAGTTCATGGGTGTGCTAGGGCTGTACAACCTCCAGTTCAGGAGTCTGTTGGAGCATTACAACCCCCGTGCAGTAGTATGCTATGGATTTACAACCCCTAATTTAGAAGTCTTCTAGAGCATTACAACCCCAACTCAGGGGTGTGCTATGACTGTACAACCTCCAGTTTAGGAGTCTTTTAGGGCATTGCAACCCCCGTGCAGTAAGTAGTATGCTATGGATTTACAACCCCTAAGTTCAGGAATATTACAACTATTACAAGGCTTTACAAATATTACAAGGCTTTATAACCAGCAACGCCGTTTGCGATTTAATTTGTGGAGGGTGGAGATGCTCTTTGATTTTCCTAAAGTGAAAATGCAATAACATGTGGTCTGACGTTGGATTGTAAATCATACACAGTAAATGTGCTAAACTTTTGCTTCATTATTTGTGTAACGTTCTTCTAATCTGCTAAACGTTGAAAGACCAACGTCAACCAATGATAAATAAAAAATTACCTAGCTTATTTGTTATATTAAAAGTCGTTCAAAATCTTTGCTTTCTGCTCGTATAACTTTAAAAACAAAGAAAATATGGTGTATGAATAATTGTTTTGGGTAATATTGCCGATAAATTTAGTGAGTTTTTTATAGTTCGAGAAGCATTATTTTGGAAGTTTTATTTATAGTTTAAATTATAGTCATTAATAAAAAACACGAAATATCTCCAATATCCTATTTGCACGTTTTTTATAAGACAAAATTAAGCTCTAGGTTTCTCAATAATAGCAATGAATATTTTAAAGTTTCCGACTTAGAAAATATACCTATCACCTGTGGGTCGTGAAAATCCCCTTTCATTGAATATTTTGGTATACAAGTAATTAGGTTATCGGAGTTTTTAAAACCTGTTGACACTAAAATAGTCAAAACAGTTACGTGAAGTAACGGAAAAGAGACTGTTAATTTTTACCAGCAGAGACCCGCAAAACACTTGCGATGAACTTAGTATCTTTATTACAACAGTACTTATTTAAATACGGGATTTCTAGAACAACACAGAAGAATCCTTATCTTAGGCCTAGCATTAGTTAAGCCTTTAGTACGGCCTATATTCGATAAAGAGATAAATTAATACCGTAACTTGTGTACGTTTTTTGCTTTAGTTTAGTTGGGCTAAACTTCATCGTACTTAAGACTATCAATAAATAAACTTATAATGTTATTCTACGACCTAACATTAGATCTTTTTAAAAACTTTTATAAGCTTTTAATATGTTGTTGTACAAAATGTCTACTAAAGTATATTTACATGCGCGTTTACTAGGAAGGCCATAAGTAAGAAAGACAGAACAGTTGATGAACGAGAGCAGGGGCGTCATATGGGGGGGGGGTATCTCCCCTTCAAGCTTGGAAGAAGGCTTCAATGGCACTTTCTGAGAGATATTAACTGTCAGGCTGTATTAACACATATACGCAAAATACGTTATAGAGTAGAGCCCCCAGCTGAATTGGGGGACCCCTCCCAAAGCCTTTTGTGAAATGACGCTCCAGAACGAGAGTGGCTGACGTATGCTTGAAACTATAGAACACATAAAAAGACTTCAAATTCGATGACGAGGAACCCACTTTGAGACTAATATTCTATTTATCTGACTGTCTATATCTATATATCGTCTTTTACAAGCGCTCATCCTACTTTAAATCTCACCTTCGCCAAAGCTACGTGTTCAAACTTGTCGAAAGCTAGGCTGTTTTCTTCCCCAGACTGGCCACGATGTTGACCACGCAGAATGCGGGCAGCTGTGACAGTGGTCAGTCCCATTCCATCGCCAACGAATAAAATTATGTTTTTGGCAACATTATAATTCCGCTCGTGTTTCAGGTTACGAAGAAGGTTTCCTTTTGACTCCTCATACCAGTGCCATCTATCTGTAAAAAACAAAAGGAAAGTAACACCGTTTAGTAGCTTCTTCACCAACTTCAGTAAACATACATAATAAGAAACTGTAAAATTTTACCAATAAAGTCAGTAAAAAATGATAATAATAATGTATTTTTTTACTTCAGCCAGCCCCCCAGTGGCACAGCGGTATGTCTGCGGACTTACAACGCTAGAAACCGAGTTTCGATACCCGTGGTAGGCAGATCATAGATAGCCCTTTATGTAGCTTTGTGCTTAACTACAAACAAACATACTTCAGCCAACGTTTCGTCATTGAAGCTTCATCAGGATTAGCTAGTACTAAAAAGTGACTACTAGCACTGATGAAGTCGCAATGGCGAAACGTTGGCTGAAATAAAAAGTTAGTATTATTATTTAGAGAGTAAAGGTCGTGGTTTTTTCTAACTTTATTACCCAAATGTCCAAATCCTTCCAGTATGCAGTTTAAATTTTGAAAAACTGCAACATTAAAATACATATAATGTTTAATATTGTCACGTGACTTCCGCTGTCGTAACAATATATTTCAAAGTGAAAATTATCAAATTTCTACACCAGGTTAATGAAAACTACTTCGGACGTTAAAAGACAAGTCAGCAGGTCTAGCTTCAAAGCACGAAAAACAAATTCTTCAAAGTTTTATAAAACAATAATTACCACATGTCTGATTCTCTACAGGTATTGGCAGAGATTGAATAAATGGTTTAAAATGTACTAAATCTGGGACTGCTGCTAAACCGACACGAATCATCAGATTTATAGTCAGGGCACAATAACCACTTAGCCACGCCCAGTCCAACAAACTTAACAACAGCCTAGTTTTCGAGCAGTGGATCTATGACGCAGTTCTACAACCTTAGCTAATATTAATA